AGCGCGGTTTCCACCCTCCGGGCGGCTGGGGCTGCCGTGCTCTGCGCGAAACACCTCCACACCCGAACAACTTCTTGGGAGCATTGTCTGAGGCCGGCGGTGTAGGGAGCAAACTTTTGGGTCGGAAGGGGGAATTCGCGGTGAGCCTCGTCCTCGCCCCCAAGTTGTACCTTAGCAGGAGCTGAGCGGACCCTGTGTGTGGAGTTCGGGGAGCCACGGTGTCCCGCCAGCTAAAGGCAGTGATGTAGATGCTCGTCCGCGGACTGTTGTTTGTTGTAAGCTGCCTTTTGGAGACCTCGTGTCTAATGGTGGTTTTCTGCAAAGCCTAAAGGTGTTCTCGGAACGACACGCCGCGGTCCATTTCTCTCCCACCTTTGGGATGTAAGCAGCCCCTTCTCAGCCTGCCGCCCATTCATCGCAGGGCCCTTGGGTGCCGGTGGCACCTCGGAGGCTTAGGCAGCGACCGAAGCCCAAGAGGAGAGTGGAAAGGTTGAGAGAAGCCGAACGATGTTACGGGAAAGAACGTGGAGTCAGGAGATTGTGACTTAATGTTGGCTTCTCTGTGTCCGTGACACGTGGACACGTGAAGTCCCAGAGTGGTGGTGTTTTTTTTTTCAGTGTAACAGGGGCAGGGGGGTGTGCCCTGTGGACCACACATGTAAAACTCGGCCAATAGTGAGGGGTCTTCTAACGGAAGGAGGCAAAGTTGGACGGAGCTTTCGTTGGCGATAGCCAGTAGGCTTTCTGCTCCGGGCCTTTGACTGTGATCGTGTCACACCTTTTACACACGGGACTTTACCAGCGTTTCAGGTGTGGAGTAAGGAGTCATAAAGGCCACCAAAACCAAGGACTGGATCCGGATCGGAGCCTCCTGACTCCCGAATCAAGTGCCCGTTGGGCCACCATGCTGGGAACGGCCTCCGAGCGCCGAGAGAGAAATCCTGGCCTTCCAGAAGCGTGCATTTGAGAACAGGAAAGCATTGAGCACCTCGCTTACCAGCAGTAAATAAATAACATGTGACCCTGTGTTTTAGAGGCTTAACCAGTGACTCAGGTGTGGATCGTGGAGCACTGATTTAGGAGTTAGGCTATTTGGGTTCTGGTCCAAGGACTTGCAGCTGATGTGACCTTAACCATAACTCTTCAGAGTTTACATTTTAAAAGAGTAATTAAAATGGATACCTTTGATCTCATAGGGGTCCTGAGGATCAAATGATATAAGCACTTAGGTCTCCTTCAACTGTAAGGCTTTTTTATTTAAGTTTGTGTTCAAATCATGCTTCAGAGCCTGAGTTAATCACCTGTTTTTACAAGGTGAAATAAACAGATGCTTCCTGTTTTAGGCTTGTCTCCTCGCTCTCTTTTTTTTTTTTTTAAATATATTTTATTGATTTTTTACAGAGAGGAAGGGAGAGGGATAGGGAGTTAGAAATATCGATGAGAGAGAAACATCGATCAGCTGCCTCCTGCACACCTCCTACTGGGGATGTGCCCTCAACAGAGGTACATGCCCTTGACTGGAATCGAACCTGGGACCTTTCAGTCCGAAGGCCGACGCTCTATCCACCGAGCCAAACCGGTTAGGCTGTAGACAGCATTCTTGATGTTGTTTCTAGAGCAGTGTTGTCCAATGGAATTGCAATGTAAGCTTCAAGTGTGAGTCAGACATGTAATTTACAATTTTCTAGTAGCCATGGTTTCTAAAAAATTTAGGGTAAATTAATTTTAATATTTTTCTTAATCCAGTATATCTAAAATATCACATCAGTGTAGAATCAGTCGAAAATATGTCATTAGCAATGTTATAAGTTCTGTTCTTTGTACTAAGTCTTTTCCATCTGAGGTATATTTTACACTTAGAGTATATCTCAACTCTAGCCCCACTCAGTGCTCAATAGGCACATGTGGCCAGCGCCTACCAAATTGGAGAGTGCAGTTCTAGAGTTTTAGAGAACAATTCTATTTCTCTTTACTAATGCTTAGCACAATGCTTGGCACAGTAATAGGCCCTCACTAAAGATTTTTTGAGTGAATGAGTCAGTGAGTACAAATGCTAGGCAACTAGTAACAAGATAATTTTGTTTGGGAAGTAACTCTTGTTGAGACTTACAAATTTAGCATATAGGTTTGAATCTGTATTAAAGTGACTGGAATCTGTATTAAAGGTACTGACTTTTATCTTTGCAGCATTATGGATCCAAGCCTTTTGAGAGAAAGGGAGCTGTTCAAAAAACGAGCTCTTTCCACTCCTGTAGTAGAAAAACGTTCAGTATCTTCTGAGTCATCAACTTCATCATCATCGAAGAAAAAGAAGGCAAAACTAGAACATGGAGGGTCATCAGGCTCTAAACAAAATTCAGGTTAGTAAAATTGACTAGAACTGTTTAGTTTTTATTTTTCAGAAAACCGTTTAGTAATGGCAAGTTCATTTTTCAGTTCAACATTCATATTGATTGTTAGGCACTTTAAGTAGAAAGGATGTAATGATAGAATTTTTTGCTCTTAAGATGTTAAAAGTCTTGTGTTGTAGTTAGAATTTAGGTTATCTTATTTTATTTTTAAAAATATATTTTTATTGATTTCAGAGAGAAAGGGAGAGGGAGAGGGAGATAGAAACATCAATGATGAGAGAGAATCATTGATCAGCTGCCTCCTGCATGCCCCACACAGAGGATTGAGCCTGCAACCTGGGCATATGTCTGGACCGGGAATCGAACCATGATCTCCTGATTCAAGGTTCAATCTCCTGATTCAACCACTGAATCATGCCAGCCAGGCAGCAAAATCCAATTTTAGAACATTTCCATCACCCCCAAAAGATTCCTTGTGCCCATTTGCAGTTGTTCCTTATTTCCACCCCAGCCCACTAATAATCTACTTTCTGTCTCTGTATTTGCCTTTTCTGAATATTTCATATATGTGAAATTGGACAATATGTGGTCCTTAATGTGGGGCTTCTCTTTTACTTAGCATCTGTTAGACTAAAGAACACTAACTTGATCATTTAATAACAACAGTATATTATATTAATTGATTTTCATATGTTAAACCAACCTTGAATTCTTGGAAAAAATCCTTGGTCGTAGTATATAATCTTTTCATTTGTTGTGGAATTCAGTTTGCTGTATTTTGTCCAGAATTCTATCCATGTTGGAGCATGTAATATGACTTCATTCCATTTTATTGCTGAAGAGTATTCCATTATAGGGATATACCACAATTTGTTTATCCATGCACCAGTTAATAGGCTTTTTTTTTTTTAAAATATATTTTATTGATTTTTTTACAGAGAGGAAGAGAGAGAGATAGAGAGCTAGAAACATCGATGAGAGAGAAACATCGATCAGCTGCCTCCTGCACATCTCCCACTGGGGATGTGCCCGCAACCCAGGTACATGCCCTTGACCGGAATCGAACCTGGGACCCCTCAGTCCGCAGGCCGACGCTCTATCCACTCAGCCAAACCGGTTTCAGCAATAGACATTTTTTTTAACTTTAAAAAAAAATACATTTTTATTGGTTTCAGAGAGGAAGGGAGAGGGAGAGAGAGATAGAAACATCAATGATGACAGAGAATCATTGATCGGCTGCCTCCTGCATGCTCCCTACTGGAGATCGAGCCCGCAACCTAGGTGTGTGCCCTTGACCGGAATTGAATCTGGGACCTTTCAGTCTGCAGGCCGACGCTCTATCCACTGAGCCAAACCAGCTAGGGCCAGTTAATAGACATTTATATTCCTTCCACTTTTTGATTGCTATGAATAGTGCTGCTATGAACATTTATGGATAAGTCTTTATGTGGACATCTTTTTATTTTTTCCTTGTAAAGAGACCTAAGAGTAGAATTTCTGGGTCATGTGGTAACTTTATGTTTAACTTTTTAAGGAACTAACAAAATGGTCATGCTATTTTACATTCTCACCATTAATGTATGAAGGTTTCATTCTTTTCTTATTCTTGCCAAGACTTGTTATTCCTGTCTTTCTGATCATATTCATTCTAGTGGATATAAAATGGTATTTTGGTTTTAATATGCAGTTCTCTAATGATTAATGATGTTGGATGTCATCTCATGTGCTTATTTGACCATTCATGTGTCTTCTTTGGTGAAATGTCTGTTCACATTTTTTGCCCACTAGAAAAATATTGGGTTGTTTTCTTACTATGGATTTGTAAGAGTTCTTTATATAATCCAGGTGTAATTTCTCGATCCAATTTCTTATCACTTGTGCTCTTGGTGTCATATCTTTGCCTAACCCAAGGTCATGAAAATTTACTGTTTTCTTCTAAGAGTTTTATAATTGTTTTTTTAAAAAATATATCTTTTATTGATTTCAGAAAGGAAGGGAGAGGGAGAGAGAGATAGAAACATCCGTGATGAGAGAGAATCATTGATCGGCTGTCTCCTGCATGCCCCCTACTGGGGATCAAACCTGTAACCCAGGCATATGCTCTGACCCAGAATTGAACCGTGACCTCCTGGTTCATAGGTTGACTTTCAACCACTGAACCACACTGGCTGGATGAATTGATTACTGTTTGCTATTGTAACCTAGTCCCTCAGACATAGAAGCATTCAGTACTTATTCGTTGAGTGATTAAATAAATTACAGGGTAAGGTAGGGAAAAGTTGATAGTGTACATTATCAAATAATCTAGTTAAAGAACCTATATGCTTTCCATCTGTGGCAAGGACCCAAAATTTATTGTTTATGGAAATGTGGTTTTAACAGTGCTCAGAATAGTTCCTGACTACCAAAGTATTTTGAATACCTAGATTTCACAAGTCCTTTGAAAACTGGATATGTTACTAATGTTAGAAAATATATAAAAAATATTTTGTGGAAAAGCTATTTCAGATCGGCAGTGAGGCTTCTCTAAATTGAAAATGACAGATATTTTTCCCTTTATAAAGCAAATATTTTCTATTTTGTCATAATTTTCAGTAACTTCTTAATAATCTGTTAAGTTAATGTGCCACATTTAAGCTGTTATTTCCAACTTTTTGTTATTTTTAGTAATGCTATTATAAACATCTTTGTATCTTGAGATTTTTTTTTTCTTTTGAACTAATTTCTCAATAAATTTTCAGGAGTGGCATTTCTGCCCTAAAGGCATGGGCAGTAGCAAAAAAGTATTAGGGTAATCCTATATAATAAAAGCCTAATATGTTAAGTGTCTCACCGTTCATTCGACCAGTTGCTATGATGCACACTGACCACCAGGGGAAGACACCCCTTTAGCTTGATGCTGGGGTCCGGCCTATGGAGACTGGGCAAGATGGGCCGGACGTGTCCTGGAGCGCTCCCGTGGTCCCTCACCGGCCCCGATTGTGCACCAGTGGGGTCCCTCGGCCTGGCCTGCGGGGATCAGGCTGAAACTGGCAGTCTGACATCCCCTGAGGGGTCCCAGATTTTGAGAGGGTGCAGGCCAGGCCGAGGGACTGTGCACCGGGCCTCTAGTAAAATATAATACGTGTGTAGTCATTGGAATTTCAAGAAATAAAACTGCTGTTATTTCTTAACAGGTGTTGAGTGATCCTATCTTCACTTTTATTTTGCAGTCTTTTCTACATTGGGTATCTTAGTCCTTGAGAGTGTGAATATGAGAAGCAAACTGAAAGCACAAGCTCAAGAAATGCACTTTAGGGGGTGTACTAGTAAGTCTTAGCTTGAAGATAACCTGACCCTTCTTAGACCTTGTATTTCAACAGTTCATGTTAAAAAAAGAAAAAAGTTTTTATTTATTTTTAGAAAGAGGAAGGAAGAAGGATAGAAAGATAGAAACATCGATAAGAGAGGAACCTCATTCATCACCTGTCTCCTGCACACCCCCTACTGGGGATTGACCTGCAACCCGGGCATGTGCTCTGACCGGGAATTGACAGCAACCTCTTGGTTCCTGGGTTGATGCTCAACCACTGAGCCACACCGGCTGGGCAACAGTTAGTACATTTAATAAAATTTTTATGCAAGTATACTTGTGACCTTTCTGAGTATTTTGAGATTTTTGTTACAGTAATCCTACTTTCAAAATGTATAAGTTGTCTTCAGTAAACTAGAAAATACTGCTTTTTAATAAGTAGGGACTATAAGTGGAAGTATTTTTATTACCAAAATACATGTAGATGTAATACTCTTTTTTTAAAAAAATCTTTATTGAGATTATTATAGACTAGAGGCCCGATGCAGGATATTCGTGCAAGAGTAGGCCTTCCTTTCTCCAGCTGCCAGCACTGGCTTCCCTTCTGCTGCCGGCACCCGGGACCCAGGCTTCCCTCGAAAAGGGAGGCCCCACCAACCCGCTGCAGCCTTCTGGTCAGTGGCCTGGGCCTCCCTCTTTGGGGTGATCATGGAGCTCCCCATTTGATTGCCCCCCTGGCTGGTGGCCTGGGCCTTCCTCTGTGGGGTGATCATGGGGCAGTGGCTGGGCCCCCGACCAATCGCATTGCACTGCCTTGAGTGGCCTGGTGCCAGTGGGTGTCATAGCCTGGTCCTGGATGGTCGTCCAGATGGTCGTTCCGCTGTTCGACCTTAGGTCAATTTGCATATTACGCTTTTATTATATAGGATGTTCCCCCTTTTCCCCCATTGCTCCCCTCTATTTTTTTAATTGATTTTTTGAGAGGAGGAAAGGAGAGGGAGGGAGGGAGGGAAGGAGGGGTGGGGAGAGAAACATTGATCAGTTGAGAGAGAGAGAGAAACATTGATCAGTTGCCTCTTGTATGCACCCTGATCTGGGATCAAACCCCCACAACCTGGGTATGTGCCCTGACCAGGAGTCAAACCCGTGTGACCTTTGTGCACGGGAAGATACTCTAACCAACTGAGCCACACTGGCCATGGCATAGTACTCTATTTTTTAGTCCACATAATTTGTTTAGGTATAAGTTGCTTTGGCATCATTAGCCTTGCTTATATTTTCCAGTTCCCCTTTTGCTGCTTAATATTGAATTCTAGGAATCTTTTATCTAGTTTTTAAAGTGTCATTTAAAAGAGATTGGTAAGTTATTCACATTTATGAAGTTTTACTGTATGTTTAATGAAAGGGATACACACACACATATTTAACTTGTCTTTTCCTTCTAGTTCAGCGGTTCTCAACCTGTGTGTCATGACCCCTTTGGTGGTCGAACAACCCTTTCACAGGGGTCGCCTAAGACCATCCTACATGTCAGATATTTACATTACGATTCATGTAACAGTAGCAACATTACAGTTATGAAGTAGCAACGAAAATAATTTTATGGTTGGGTCACAACATGAACTGTTTTTAAAGGGCCAGAAGGTTGAGAACCACTGTTCTAGTAGAAATTTCTTAATCATTCAAAGTCAGTCAATTTTATAATAACAGTTGGTCTCAGAAAATTTTTTTCTCCAAAGTTGAAGGCTGTTTTCAGAGATTTTGCTCATCTTATGTAGAGTGCTAGACCACTTCAGTTTCACGTTTTCTGATGTTGTCCATCATGCTTCTAAGAGGGTTAGGTTCACTTTTCAAGTCTTTCACCGTTTTGTTTTTTACACAGCAGCAACAGTCAAGCACTTCATAAAGGAAAGCCAGCACCACTAAAGATACCACTGTAAATATAAATAAAAGCAGAATGACAAAGCAGGCAGTGTTCCAGTTATCATGGAAAGGGTAAATTTTTTGAACTTGAAAACCAAGGTACTGATAAACAGATGTAGTGGTTTCATTCCATAGGCTGGAGCTCAGGGAGGCCATTCTTAGGATTCCACTTCTTGTATTGTTCTTTTGAATCTATATAAAGGTAGAAAATGAATATATGTAACCAGACTCTACAGATTTAGCAATCCAAATCTCAGTGCTAAGATTTGTTAATAAATTTATATAGGCAATCTGAGTTTTCCTTATCTGCCAGAATTAATGCCTAAATGGTATTAATTCAATAAGTAACTTTAAAAACACATTTAATGGTGTTCATTTTTTCTTTTCTCAAAAAAATGTTTTTATTGATTTTAGAGAGAGGAGAAGGAGAGAGGGATAGAAACATCAATTATGAGAGAGAATCATTGATAGGTTGCCTCCTGCACATCCCCTAATGGGGATCTAGCCTGAAACCCGGGAATGTGTCTTGATCGGCAATCAAACTGTGACCTCCTAGTTCAACACTCAACCACTGAGCCACAGTGGCCTGGCTAATTTTTTCTGTATCTATGCCAATGTAGTCTGTAAACCATACTATATATTTCTGTGTATGTTATTTGTTAAGTATGTATGTTTAATATTCATACACTGAAAAATTAACTGGGAAGGGAAAAAAGGCAGCTGCATTGGTTTAAAGTTTGACTAAAGAAGTGGTCAGGAACTCTTTGTGTTTTAAGGTTATATTCTTCAAAATGCCCTTGTGGATCCTCTCACCTTCTTAGTTCTGTGTATTTTCGGCTCCTATTTCCACTCCTTTAAACTTCGAGGACAGGGACCTGAAATAGGGAATAGTGGTTGAGTGAAAAATAGTAGAGAAAGAAAAGTTAAGTTGCCTATGAAGAAATTAAAATCTTAGTTTTTTTTGTGTCTAAATGTTTCATGTGCCTAAATGACCTATAGATATATTTTAAAAAACAGGCAAATTCAATGCCCCAAAGTTATCATTTATTGAATTATTCCATTTCACAAAATTAGCTAGTGAGTTAAAGTTTCAGTATTCTTGCATTAACTTTTTTTGCTCTTGTTGACCTGAGACTTGTTGCCCTGATTTGAGAGTGTTAAAGATTAAAAAGTGACTTAAAACCTAAAGCCATCTATCTATCTATATATATAAAAGGCTAAGGAACTGTCTGACCGGTTGCGCTATGATGCGCAATGACCACCAGGGGGCAGACGCTCAATGCAGGAGGTCCTGAGCTGTGGTGACTTGGCAGCGGCGGTTCTCGGGTGATGCACCCCGGAACCAGAGAGGAGGGAGCCCGATTCTGGGGTGCATCACCCGAGAACTGCCCTCTAGCAATCCAGGACCCTTTGGGGGATGTCAGAGAGCCAGTTTTGGCCTGATCCCCGCAGGCCAGGCCGAAGGACCCCACCATCTGGAGGGACCTTGCTCACTCCACAGATGCTCTTCAAGCCGCAGCGCCGCCTCAGGTGCGGCTGGCCGAGAAGGGGCTGGCAGAGAAGAGACCTTGGGAGGTTTGCTCCAGGGCATGTACGGCCCATCTCTCCCAGTCCTCCGTTGGCCACTTTCTAATTAATTTCCTTTCAATCTGCATGAATCCATGCACCGGGGCACTAGTAACAATATAATTCCTTTAGATTTCTTTGTTTCCTTTATAGATATAATTTTAAAACTTTGGGCTTGATAAATTGATATCTTCTAAGGTTCTTATTTTCTTAAGTCAGATTTGCTTGACAAATCCCTTCACCTCTCTGGACTTGGTTCCTTCCTTCTTTCATGTGTTTTGAAGGTTAAGTTGATGATCTGAGGCCAAAAGTAAAGGCTTCAATTTATTTTTCTTTTTGGATTTAAGAATTCTTCAGGTTTTTTTTTTTTTGTAAAATATATTTTATTGACTTCAGAGAGGGAGGGAGAGAGTGAGAGAGAAACATCAATGATGAGAGAGAACTATTGATCCGGCTGCCTCTGTATGCCCCACACCAGGGATCAAGCCCTCAATCTGGGCATGTGTTCTGACTGGGAGTCGAACTGTGATCTCCTGAGCCACGCTGTCTGGGCAAGAATTCTTCAGTTTTATGGTGCTTGGGACCCTTTATCTTGAAATGAAGGATAACAGACTAATGTACCGTAATTGAACCAATTGCTTCTATTAGTTCTGGGACATACAAAAATACGTTGTCTGTAACCCAGTATGTGTTACATTACATCATTTTCAAACTATATCTGGAGATTAAGCCTTTCAAAGTTACCCTCTTCTGGCTTTTGAATTTTTTTCTTCTGAGCATTTTTAAAAAATATGTTTATTGATTTGAGAGAGAGAAACATCAAAGTGAGAGAGAAACATCGATTGGTTGCCTTCCACATGCACCCCAACTGGGGATCAAACCCAAAACCTGGGTATGTGCCCTGACCAGGAATCGAACCAGTGACCTTTAGGTGCATGGGAAAATGCTCAATCAACAAAGCCACATCAGCCAGGGCCAGAGCATGTTCTTATAGAGCAGTGATGGCGAACCTTTTGAGCTCAGTGTGTCAGCATTTTGAAAAACCCTAACTTAACTCTGGTGCCGTGACACATATAGAAATTTTTTGATATTTGCAACCATAGTAAAACAAAAATTTATATTTTTGATATTTATTTTATATATTTAAATGCCATTTAACAAAGAAAAATCAACCAAAAAAATGAGTTCGCGTGTCACCTCTGACACGCATGTCATAGGTTCGCCATCACTG